TGACTCTTCTTCTGCACCATGTCAAATTATGTATATATTAAAACTCCACCCATCTGTGTCTTCACATCATATATCAGCCACTCTCAGGTCACTCTGTCCACAGGATCAATGTGTATAGATACTGGTCACTTTATCAGAATTCCCTTCCTTTAAGCTCCACCTGGAGTTTGTTAATGCCCATTTATTGATGTACAGTTTTTCTTGGCCATCCTCAACCCTTCAATAGTGACTTTCATTCAATATATATCAAAGTTCATTCCATATATATCAAAGTTTATTGTATGTATATATATGTTCATTAAATATTTCCTGTTTGGCTTGCCATAATATATATATATATATATATATATATATATATATATATATATATATATATATATATATATATTTGTCCATAATTAATATAAGATGGAAAATCATATGCCAGTGTTATATCTTTTAATGTTTAAATGATCAAATTAACACATTTGTGTTGAAATAAAGGTTTATTTGTACAAAAAAGCTTCATTGGAAATATGACAATCAATAGGAAACAGTCATAGGAAATTTAACTGGACAGTAGATGGCAGCATGGAGCCAGGTGTCAAATGCTTCAAAACACTGAACCATTTTCCTGTACAATTGGTTCAACTGGTTTGATGCTTTGAAAAGCTTCGTAACGGCCACCACTGGTTAAAAGGCCAAAAACAATGTCAAAAGTACAAAAAACGGGTTTGCAACAACAGACTAGAGAAAAAACCTGCTCTGAACAGGGGCAATACTTCGCAAAGGGAGCGTGGAAACAGTCTATATAGAGATGCTATGATTAGGTGTAGGTGTAACAGTTCAATATTCTGGAGATGATGACTTTGAGAATGAGTGATGGCTGTGGGGCGAGTGTCATATGGTCCTCCAGGGGTTCTGGGAAATAATTAATAATTAATAATAAGTGGTGCTGCACTGAAGAGTCTTTTTCACTCTCAGTACTTCTGCATGGGACACAGAGGAAACTGGCTGCTAGAGTTGCCATTCTGATTCATTTTGCTCCATGATTTTGTCAAATACCAAGACAGCTTTTGTGCAGATTTCCTAGTGGTTTGTTTTTTAACTTCCTCAGATAAGGCAGTAACAGGACGTTTTTCCTCCATCTTCTCAACCTTTTCTGTCAGGGTAATCTTTGCCTTTTTGCAAGATGTCTGAACTTGTGATCCATCTATAATGAATATCAAAACACCTGACAATTCATGATCAATCAAAGACAGTAAAAATACTTTTGTACCAGCAGTTTTTCTCTTAATTAATAGAGAACAATGTATTTAATAGTGTTGCTGAACTGGGTAAATTCTTAAAAACAGGTTTCCCAATTTTAAAATACCGACCTGTCTTTGTATCTCGGATCCAGTAGACTTGTAACTGAGTATAGAGCCTCTTCTTCAAACATGCTAAATCTTGTGCTGACTGCATCCAGCAAGGTGTTTTTCAGCATTTTCAAGTATATCTCAGCTGGCTGTCTTCAAGCAAACTTTTTAACCATGTAAAATGTTCAGTTGCTTCTGTTTTGTACAGTCTATTGAAGTTCTTTCACAGTTTTCCTGTTTTCCTCCTGCTAGCAGGTGCGTCACCCACAGTGTGATGTGAAAAGAGACCGTCATGCACAACAAGGTTTAGTGAGTGAGCAACACATCCTAAACTAGGTAGCAAATCCTTCATGGCTAATATTATCATTATCAATAATCAATAAGGATAAGTCAAACAAAGTGATGAATTCAACTAATATCTCATCTTCTACAGATTGTTGCTGATGTCACTGGTTAAATGTGCAAATAGAGCAGCACCTAAATAAACCTTTAAAATAACTACATATCTAAAATGATTTTAAAAGAAAAAGGTGTGTTTATGTGTAATGAAAAATGAATGTTAAACATTTTTATTTATGTTTAATACCTTTACCTGCTAGCTTTAAAAAGGAAAAGGGGTTCAAATCTGTCTTTATAAAAACATCCCTTTTGTACATGTTAAAGGCTGTGACACTCTCAGCCACCAGAGGGAGACAACATGCACCTCCCAGTGCCTAACAAGCCCAACGTCCTACACCTGGGCAGAGGGCTTCATAAGGGCAGAGAAGGTGACACACATAGCTGTGTCTTTGTCTCAGCTTGAATGAATAGCAGCAGCCAGTAATTTAGGTAAGAGGACATGAAGGAACACTCATTTCTTCTCTTCAGATTTGGTTTTGTTTCTGTTGGGAATGTTATTTGTCACTTTAGTTTCTAAGTTCTCTTTCTGCTTCTGAGAAAGTCAGTTTTCCCCTTGTTCCCTCTTCCCACCTGAACCAAAATGAGTGGGTTTAGAATTTGGGTAAATTCTTTTTCTCCCTTCAGCTTCTGTGGTGTAATTGTAGAGTGCAGCACAGTACGGCTGGGGTTCGATCCCCAGCATTAATACTTTAGGTTTTTATTTATTTATTTATTTTTTTTGTGGAGCTCATCTATCTCCATTATCTCCCTTTACAGGGCTGCTACACTGACCTGTGTACTATTAAACACAACAGCCAGACCACCACATTTTCCCTGGGACCTAGGCTTAGCTAGATAACTATAGCCAGTAGGTAGCATCATATTGAGATGGAGGTAATCTCCAGGTTTCTGCCATGATTTAGAAAGAAAAAACATGTCAAAGCTGTTCTGGACAATAAGGTCATTTATTAAAGGAGCTTTGTCCGTTACAGCATGACAGTTAAGCAATGCAAGTTTGAGTCTGTTGCAAGTTCTGGAGTTGATTGGGGTGGGCAGTAAAGAGGAGCAAGACAGAGAGTGAAGGACATCAAAGTTGATTGTTTGATGGTCCCATCCAATTGTCCACATGGCAGGGATAGGGGAGTCCGATGCATAGTAGACGGTGAGTCGAGTTCTGGAGGAGCGGTGGATATACAGAGGGCAACAAGTGATGCTGAATGACTGGCATTACATGTATGCAGCAGAGTCCAGAGCAGGGTTGAAATAGCTACTGAAAAATTTGTAGTTAGCTACTTTGTAGCTACTTTCCCAAAATGTGTAGCTAGCTACAATTTAGCTACTTTTCCAGAAAAGTAGTAGCTACTTTTAAGCTACTTTTTGAAAAGTAGTGCACTACTTTTAGCTACTTTCAAAGTGTGATTGTCAATGTTTGTGAATCTCCACCTGACACACCAAACAAGCCCAAGTGACAGTGTGAACAAGACACTGCATTTAATCATGTGCCAGAAAGAAACATACAATTAAAAAGCAGCAAATATACAAAAAGATCACCAAAAAGTGTAACCAAACTTACAAACTTAATCAAACTTGCACAACAAAAGGCATGATATCCGACAAAAATGTAGATTAAGTAAAGGCAAAGTTAATCAATCCAGGTTTTTCCTAACAAAAATCAACAAAAAACCAAATACAAACCAATCAGTTTTGTGCAAAACATTGTCAAATGTTAAAACTGCTCCAATTTAAACATTTTAGTAAGATATTTACAAACATGTCATCTATAACTGTTATGCACCTTTTTCTTTTATTTGTTCCTTCTTCATCCCTCCATTCTTCCATAAACTGCTATTAATGTTCCATACACTTATTTGACTTCACTTGCCCTGTTAAGGTTTAATTAATCATTTTACTATTTATTTATTTATATGTTTATTTCAGCTAAAAAAAAATACATTAAACTTATGTTAAATCGGGCGATAGTTTCAAATTGATTTTGTTTCCTTTACTCCTCTCTCTATCTTTGCTTGTCTCTTTTGCATCTCTGTACTCACTGTGTATAGTAAAAGCACACATCAAACATATGTTATAAAAGGCTGTCTGTACCAAAGCCCAGCTAGACGGGAAAGGTGGCTACTCGTATAGTTAATGAGACAAAGTATAGTCTGATTTCTTAATGTTTGCTACATGATATATGCTGGTTAACAGTGAACTTTCATGTTGCTGTGTAGTTTCATTGCTTTTTGAATCTCATAAAACCCTGAGAAACTTCTGAGGAGCTTGGAGTCCTAACGCTAGTTGTGAACATAACAGGCGCTGATTACTGAAGTAATTGCAGACAGCAACAATTACTAAGCGGTGATTGGAGGGTTGAGAAAATAACGCGGAGCTTGGCAGATTTTGATTGGCCATAATTCAGTGACAGCACTCACAGAAAACAAATCAAAATTTCATATAAAAAAAATGAGGCATAATATTCTGTCCCCAGATTTTAGACGAACATTAATAATTTGGAGACAAATGGACTTATTTGCCCGTATAATCACTCCAGCTGGTTTACAGATACGTTTAATCTGTAACGAGAAACTGTCAAACACTAAGGCGTGAAGTCAGCTTCTGGTTCTAATCTTCCTGTTCCACTTTAAATGGCGTAGCAGTAACATACATTCTGGCACCTCATGCACCATTTAAGGTGGAACAGGAATATTCGAACAAGAAGCTGGTAAATGAGAATCTGACTCGGACGTTCAGAGACAGTTTACTTGTTAAAGTTTCCTGACTGATGTGCGAGAGAAGCGGCTACAGCTGACCTACAGCTTAAAGCAGAGCAAAGTAAGTCTGCGTTTATGTTTTTTAGCCTATACTGGTACATTAGCACACACTGAGACTTATTTACAGCCAAGACGGTAAAACGGATATGAAATGCTTGGGTTTCCGACCCCTGAGCTAAGCCTGTAAGGGGTGATCAGCGCGTGGGGGCAGTGCATGGCCGTTTGCTCGAGCTGTCCAGCTCAGTCAGGATTGCACAATCGCTACCAGCCCAGTTAACGGCCGTGCTCTGTGGTTCAGATTTTGCACGGTTTGACTGAGGGCTGTAGCGAAAATTTTAGCTATAGCTACACACAAATTTGTAGGCGCTACAGCTACTAGCTACATTTAATAAAACTGTAACGACTACAGCTTCTAGCTATAAATATTTGTAGCTAACTACAAAAAGTAGCGCGCTACTTAGCTACTCCCCCATCCCTGGTTGGAGGATGTCTATGCTGCAGCGGTGTGTGTGTGTGTGTGTGTGTGTGTGTATGTATGTATGTACAAACATGCTTGCAGTGTGAAATATACAACATAAAATTCCAATATTTTATACATGCATTTTGCTGTTCATCTAAGTTAAATTACAAACTTTTCTCACAGATACCTACAAATATAATTTCATGGTGATAACAGGGATAATCAGCCCAGGTTGATACACGTTCAGATCCGGCGCCTTTATAGCCAGATACAGCACAGTCCTCTTTTCCTTCATAATCATTAGGTTCCCCCTTAAACCAGAACCTGAAACACAGAGAATCAGATTATCTTCACTATTACACCTCTAGACCTTCTTAGAATAAGTGAATGACTGCATCATGAGTTCAGTTCAGTGGTCTCTTACTCAGTGGTTAAAGCTGAGTTGTCCACCCATTTCCAGTCCCCCTCTGTGTGGCTGTCTGTCAGACCAATCCAAGCTGCAGTGCTGCCAAATGCTTTACTGATGAACTCCTGACATGGTACAATATAGCAGAATGTGAATATATACAGCTGAAGCAGAGTAGTGTCTCTCTCTCTCTCTCTCTCTCCTCTCTCTCTCTCTCTCTCTCTCTCACCTGTTCTTCTCTGCTGTTTATGATCACCAGGTCTGCTCCTCTCTCTCTGCAGAACTGTCTGCTCGCACTCCAGCTCTTCTTCTCAGTAGAGATGTAATACAAACCGTTTTGGAAACTCCACCGTCCCTGCTCTTTTCATAGAGATAGTCATGCATTAGTAGATCAGTTAAATTAAATGGGACTTCTTCAGATTTTCTGCGTATTTAAGTCATTAAGATGTTAATGCTCTGTCTTTATGAATCTTACAAGTCAGAATTGTTCACAGTGGTGGTAGGAACCATTCATTCAAAGTGCTTATTGCCTTTAAAAGCTACATCACAGAAAACTGTTACATGAAATGGTTACAAATATGCTGTTTGATGTCTGAGACACAATTTCACAATAGATTTGATATTAGCTTTGGATCTAAGACATTTTTAATAGTATATTCATGGCAGAGAGGGGTAAGGCAATGAGTACCAAAAGAAAAATGTCCCAAATTTACCACTGTTTTACTATTATCAAGAGTATATATAAAACTCTAGACGTGTGTAGCTGACACTTTGGACAGCAAAAAATGGCTATATTTGTGTTGGAGAGAGTGGGACCTGGTTCCTATGATCACCCCTGTAAAGAAAACCAAGTCGGTATGTTTCTCTACCATGAACCATTTCACATTAAACTAGTCTGAATGACTTTCAGAGTGGTTTAACATCTCAGTGGCTGAATTATGCAGACATTTTGAAAAATCAGGACTACACAGTATGTGGTACAATAAGGAATTACATAGAGCATGACTGGTTGTTGCCCTCTTACATTCTGTAATTGCCTGTATGCCCTGTCACCAGCATTACCAGTCCAGTTATAGTTTAACGGTGTAGCTAATATAAAAATGTCAGACACATCAATAGAGAGAAAGGTTAGTGAATAAAGTTCCTAATTCATTGTTCTCTATAGTAAAAAAAAAGTTTACAAAAATAAGGCTTAAAAGACTGTTTTGCTTGGCCCACTGTTTGATTTTCATATACATCATATGTGTTGTGTAGATGTGCAGAAGTCATGGGCTTAAGCAGGCTGCGCACTGGCTCTTCATCTCAAAATAATAAAGATAATAATAGATATATGAGGTAATGTAATTCTTCATAAAATAGACCCAAATGGTATTCACTAAATCATCCTATATTCCTATACCTTTACTGTAAATACAGATAATAAGATACCCTTTTACTAAAGCCATTACAGCTACTATTCTGAAGTGCGTCAGAGAAAAAGCCATCTGTGCTCCAGAACTCCATATTGATGTCCATGGTTTTGGTATGGGATGTCTAACAAGCTTGTGTAGATATTGAGGCAACCTTCTTGCATTGAAAGTTAGCACTGAAAATGTCATGTATTGAAAGTATAAACTCATTGCAATAGGTTTAAAACTGTGCTACCTCAATTCATCAACCAGGAATCTCCTCTGATGAGGTTAAATTAAATATACAATGATCTCTTCCTGCCCGTTTTGAGATGGTGAGGCATTTTTGCACAGACATTTTAGTAAAATGTGAAATAATTCCTACACAAACCTCCAACCAGTTATATCAAAATGTAGCTTAGGTTGTCAGCTTCACAAGGCAGCTTTCAGATTTAAAATTGGTTGGATTCAGATATAATGCTTTCGGTCATAGCAGTGACTGTTACTATGCACTAATAGGACAGGTTGCTATAGCATCTGAGGAACTGGCACTGACAATGTCGATGTCCAAGTCAGTCATAGTAGTCTGCTATTACAGCAGTCTTCACTGTTGTCCACCAGTGAATATGAAACACAAACATAAGTCTTACATTCACATCTCATCAGTAGCAAAAAGGATAATAAATATTCAGAGTCCATTAGTTGTTGCTCTGACTCTTGAAGACTTTGTCATTTCCCCATTATGTGATTGTCCAAGTGAATGAATTAAAGACAAAATTTGACTGACAATCTGATTTTCTGCAGTTATCAGATTAAAAAGTCCATGTAAACACACTCAGTGAGCAGTGCTGGAAGCCTCTGATCACGCCAGGTGTTTGTGTCTTTATTTAAAACAATAGTTTTCAGTTTTTGGGCTCTGTGAGCCTTATGATTAACTGTGTAATTTGTCCACAACGGTTGGGAGGGAGCTCAGTTATGTCGTATTGCATTATACAAAGAAAACACACAGACAAATCAAATCTGTGGAGGACAACATGAGTAATCTGAGGGTTAAGACATGGATGAAATCCACTGTTGGAGATTTTGGATGGATTCTAGGAATCTTGGCCTTCTGAGGAATCCTGAGGAAATTTGCTTCTCCTCCATAGTGGATCTGGATAGTGAGTGCTACTGGAAACTTCTAATTAAAATTTCCTGTTTTCTAGTGATAATGGCACAACTTGGATATATCACTGATAATCACTTAGTAAGAAGCCTGAGTAAATTTGCTACACCCATGGCCTCAAAAGTCATTACTTCAGCTCCACGGAAGACTTCGACTTAAATCTCACCGGTAAGAAAGCTGGAAGAAATTTTATTTGTCCAATACATACATTTGTTAGTCCAGCTTTCTGTGAAACCAGTTGACTAGGCAAGCATTGGTTACATCTGTGGGTTGCTCTAGTCTTTTAAATCTAGTCCATATGAATACAATTCAGAACAAAACAAAGACACCCCTGCCTGGATGTCTCCTTTCTAATGTGTATTTGTTACATCACAAATATGATGAGTTGCATAGTATATCAGTGAACAACAATTCAGCTGTTGTCGTCAAGTCAGAGACTTTAAATTCGTACATTCTAGACTCTGTTGTAACTTTTCCTGGATATATTTTACATTGGCGTGATCGCGAGGCAAGTGGGGGAGGAAGAGTCACACTGTATGCTTGTTATAACAGAAAAAACTAACTCACTTGGAGGGACGAGAGTATGAAGTTTTATGGGTATTGTTGCTGCCTAAACGTCTTCCCCATGGGCTGAACTGCATCATTGCTGCTGTGCTGTGTGTTCCACTGCACTCCTCAGCAATGGCCAAACCAGATTAATCACACAGTATCTGGATCACTGTCTCAGCAATATTGAATGCAGTTACCAGCATGCTGCTGTTGTCATTCTTGGAGACACAAATAGGTATAAGTCTGAAATCATCTGTCAGACACCGACTGAAACAGGTTGTGGCTGGTGTATCAAGAAAACCAGTAATTTTTACCAACATTTTCTTTCATGCATGAGCTATCTGTGCCTTTGCCCCCTGTTGGCACCTCTGACTATCCAGCCATTATGTGGAATGCTGGTAAATGGCCCTCCAAGCCCATACAGTAAGTCACTTGCTGAAAATGTACAAAAGGGCGATGAGGCAGTTGGGTCTTCTTATGAATACTGACTTTACCCCTATTCATGAGGCCACTGACCCAGAGGTTAAGGTTATATCCTTCACTTCCACATTTGGGTCCTTCCTGGCTAAAGCTATCCCACTTAAGAGAGTATCAATTACTAATTAAAGACAAGCTCTGGATGACTGTACAAATTAAAAATCTGATAAAAGAGAGACGGTACTATCAGAAACTTACAATCAATTGTTGTAAAAAAAACAAGCAGCGATGCTACTAGAATGAGATGGGGGAATTGCGGTGCTGTAGCTCAAAACAGTGGTTCAAGTCTGTTAAAGCATTTAAGGAGATGATGATGGGTGGGCTGTGGTACTTCAAGACCCCAACATCTTGCAGAGTGAGTGTGACTCTCTGGCCAAACATTTTGCTTCAAATGGGACCAAGTGGTCTACATTATTCCATCTGAGGAGGATGAATCTGCAAAATTAATGAGGGGGAAAGCAGCTGGACTGGACTGCACTCCCTCTTGGGTTTTAAAGACTTTTCATGAAGAACTGCCTTGAATTCTGTGTTTGAATGGGGAACAAGAGTTTTCACCAACAATGAATGAACCCAAGACTGGATACGATAATCAGAGCCAGGAGAGAAGACTACATCCCCTCTCCACCGTCTCCATTAATTTCTAAAAAAAACATCAGTAGAGTTTCCTCCTTTAATCTACTCAGAGTTCAGATATCATCTGATTTATCTTGGGGTGCCTACATTAATTATTTGCTCCTAAAGACAAAGCCAAGGATTCATTACCTTAGTGTTGCCAACAGAGGCAGTTTTCTATGTGATGTTCTAAAACAGACACACCTGATCTTCATTAGTCCCTGAGTATGCTAGCCCAGTCTGGGTGGGCTGACAAAAGGCCTCTCAGGCCTGGAACTAGAGAGATACAAAAATTATGCTGTAGTATCATCGGCATTCCAACTTCCCCTGCGCATCCTTCACGACATAAGGATAGTTTAACCCCCCTACCACCTGATTTTCTGTCTACAGCCTCAACACTCACTTACTCGCTTCATTGGTCCAGGGAATATCTGGTGCCCACGAGCAGAACTGAACAACATACGTTTTCTTTTATTCCTCATATTTTTAAATTGCCTTTTAAATGACGTAGTTCTTTTAGGGTTTATGCTCTTAATTGTATCCTCATATTAACTTGTTCCTGCTTATGATGTGCTGTAATGTTTGATGCATTTCAGGTGTCACTGTTTAAAAACTGTTTTTATGCTGTTGTACCCTGCCTTTTTAAACGTTAATAAATGAAACAAACTATTACTGATTTCATAGATTTTAACCAGTCACCTGTAGCACATGGCCCACAAGCAGATTAAATCACCTCTGACAATAATCAGAAGGCTGGAGAAGTGGATAGCAATTGGAAGAATGCATGACAGGCATGAAACATTAAATTGGACAACACTGGAATTACTCTGCTAAGAACAGACAGCATGGTTGACATCAGAGTAGTTTCCTATGATCACTAATTTGAGCTTTATTTACTCACCTAATTCTGACAGTTTCTTCTGAAGTGTTTCCTTTTCCCTCCGTAATTGGCCCATCTCATTCTTCATATTGTCATTATTGGTCTTTAACTGGTCTCTCTCTGTAGTTAGGCTGGTGTAACTGGTCTGTAACTGGTCTCTCTCTGTAGTCAGGTTGATGAACTTGATGCACAGCACTGTGATGGCAGCCAGCAGGAGAACACACAGCAGCCCCAGACACACTGCAGTCAGTCTGTAGCATCTGCTCTCTGCTGTGTTGATTCTGGAAACTAGAAAAAAACACAGTAATATTCACAAATTCAGTGTATTTACTATTCACAAGCATGACATTTCTGTGATATATAAAGCTGGGTAATGCTTTACAGGAACTACATTTACATGAATCAGGTGCGCTGGCTGGCCACGTAAAGATCGGGGGCTCAGTCGGTTTATGAGGAGCTTGGCTACTTCCTACCACTTACCCAGAACTTTCCTATAATTTTAGACAGTAGAAGAATGTATTTCACAAAAAATTCAAAGAAAACGTACCTAAATATTTTCTTTTTTTCTGCAGCAAACAGGTTTTGGGCAGGACGCTAGCATTACTGCTACTGAGGACTGACTGGTTGGCGAGTGGAACAGCTTTGCCCTTGCTCGGAAGCGCCCTCTAGTGTTTGAGAAACCCGGAAGACATTATGGAGTTGTAATTCTCCTCTGTACAAGTTCTCTGACGATACTCCACAACATGTGTTTGAAAACAGGCAGTTTATGTACTGAGGAAAACGGGTATGAATAATGAAGAAGCGAGGGATTCTGGGAGTTCAAGTCTGAGGCGGCCGTGTCAGCTGTAGTTTCAGCTAGGCCAGATGGAGGCTTGTTTTAAAATGAGGTGAATTTTTATGTAGGAGATTTAGCTTTTTACAGAAATTTCACGCAATCATGCATTTTTTTTTTTTTCTCTCTCTCCCACATGCGCACACACTGTCTCTGTTCCCCTGTGTAATGTTATAAGGTTGGAGGCTGGTTAAAAAACATTTGGAGCTACAGCCCTGGAAGCCCAGGCCGGGTGATGCCCCTTCATGGCATGTTCATAAGCAACATCACCCTGAATCAAATACATTATCATTTTGAAATATAAATTAAATATATTCATTAAGGAGTAACAAGCAGAGCACTGTAGCGTGTCTGTTCTTCCTGATTTGTCCCTATTGGAACCTGTAAGAGCTAGATCAGTGTATTGTCTTACAGTACAAGTGACAAATGACCATAAGCGGTGTAAATTCTTTTTAAAACCTTCATGTGTGTGTGTGTGTGTGTGTGTATATATATATATATAAAATATACACACACACATAACTGTATAGTGTATTACAGTGTTATGTAGACAACACATTCAAACGTATCATCTTATGAAATGTTAGTGAATAATATGGATCATTCTAGCAAACTGGTCCAGAGTTGAAAATATTTTTCATAGTTTTAACTGAATTTGACTTTAGACTCAAATCCTTTTGGTTTGAGTCCATCTAAAATGTAAGCTTTAAAACCTACTATTGGCCTGCAAGTTCTCGTCAGCACATTCCTGGTTTGAAGGAGCATTCCTGGTTTAAGGGTGCCATTTGGGATAAGAGTGTGTGTGTGTGTGTGTGTGTGTGTGTGTGTGCGTGTGTGTGTGTGTGTACCTGAGGTCATAGTTCCTTTACGGCTTCTGGTCACACCCGTCTCTGGGACATCTTCATTGGCGTAGATGTCCTCATAATCGTTGCTGTCATTTGAATGAGTTGATGCGTTGTCTGTTGTAATTCCTGAATTTGCATATATATCCTTATTCATCTTCACCTCTTTGATCTTCTGTAAACGTGTTGATGCCATTAAGTGGATTTTTGCTGTATCTGCAGATGTGAAGTCTCCACTACAGTCTTCAGCTCTCAAAGTGACTCTGTCTGGGTGATACTGCTAAATACATACTTGCTCTCAGGACAGGAAGTTTAGGCATTTCATACCAGTTTTGACACCCATCTCTGTCACTGCTCTCTGTCTACAGGAACTATTTTTTTTTGTTTGTTTGTTTCTAGCTGGAGAGATCAGTTCCTGTGGTTTGTGCTCTGTGTGAAAGGTTAAAGTTGTCATTGTGTCTGTTGCCATTTCTGAGTATAGGCATGAAGAAAAGACATTGCTCAGATAAAGTCACGTCTAGGCCTGGGATTAATAACAGACAGAGCTACATAGGTGTGTCATGAAGGGAGTTGGGAGATTAGGACGATTCCAAGGGCCCCAAGTAGACACAAATATTGTACTTTTTTGCTCACAAAAAAAAAATTTTAATTGAAATTCTTCATTCATTAAATAATAATTAAAGACTACTGCTTTCCAGAAGCATTTCAAAAACTCAGTATACAGTATATTGATGTCGCTTATGTTCACAGCTTGTTCCATGCTCAGTTCTCAGGGAGCTGAAAATACCCAAAAGCACCTCTGTGCTGGTCTGTGTACCACTCTGTGTTCACCTTATCATCTATGTTAATGAGTAGGCATTAGAAACCTGTGAGCTCACTAAAGAAGGGAGATTGTGACAGATAAGACCCTCTGTGGTTGGTCTACAAGTCACATGGTTGTTGTATATGCAGAGGGACTTCATGTGGTTGAGGTGTGAATTCAATGCATCACAAACTTTCATGCTGGTGTTGCACATACTCTGCTGGTCTTCATAACAGCACAAATTTGCCTGGCCAAGATGCTGGAATATCCAGGAATATTGCTCCACACAGAAATGATTGGGGCCTTTTACACCAATAGGGCTTACGTCTGGTCATAAACCAGGTCAGTCAAATTCGAGACCTTTTCCAGGCTGGTAACTACTTTAGACAAGCTAGCACACTGCACTAGTTAGAGACTTTGTTCTGCTGCAACTCAAGTCTCTAACTGTCGCAGTGAGCAGCAGTGCTTACACAGCTAACTTCACTAACTTAAAAACTGTGTATCAACAGTATCTGGTCAGCTAACTACACTACAAAATGTGCATAAAAAACAGACATATGCCTTCATTCAGATTGATTGAGTTTAGAAAGAGCTGTCGGATGTCCACAATATTCCCACATTTTAAAACTGGAGTAGGTAGTTGTTGTTTTGGTTTAGGTTGAGAAATGCCTTTTTTCTTGTTTTCCTCTGTGTGTTTGGTGGCCATCTTGTGAGATAAAGTCCCCGCCTTGAACACACTACAAGTAGAAGCACAGCTGTTAATGTTGTAAGTATTTACAACAGAATCAAACTGCAGAACCATTTTTCCTAAAGTCCACATCACCCCATACAGAGACAAGGGAAAAGCTATGGAAAGTTTCAGGATTGAGTTGAGAGCGAGGGGGCCAAAAACCCCAAAATACATCTGGGATGGTGGCGGCTCAAGAAATTCGAGAAACACTATTCTATTGTGTGCTGTCCATCCAAAACCTCCCATATTGACCTTTTTCTCTTTTTTACATTAAGCTGCTAAGATGTTTGTCCATCAGTGTTACTTAAAGATTATTTTATAATTAAATCAACATGCAAGCTACAATGTTGGTGAAATGACTGTCAGTTCATAATTCATTTACATCATTATGAACGCCCTGCCACCATTTTGGAAGGCAGCTGTAACTCTGAATATGCTCTGGTATCTTTTCTCATCACTGTTGCTGCAGCTACAACCCGACAGGTGGCTGTAGACCAAGTTAAGTAGACCACAATGACTACAAAGATAATGAAAAGACAGGTTGTATCTAAGGACAACTTAGATACAACCTCTAGAAAAACCTTCGGTAAGAAGATTATCTTGATTGGTGGACTGGTGGTGGATTGGTGAACCTACATATTTCCAGAGTTCAGAATATTCTGATATGAGATTTTACAAAAACTGATAAAAATGGCTTCACCTAGTACACTAAAGAGTGTACTTCTAATGGTACTGCACTGTTTTTAAAAGTATTTAGTGTGCTAGTGCTAGCAGTTTGGAATGTGGCACAAGTAACGCAGTGGGAAATCTCAGCCATTTGGCTTTTAGCTTTCATTTTTTATCATTACAGCAAATCAACACTCCACAAATCAACACAAGGTGTGCCTGATGCCCGTCCCCTAGGTCAGTGACAGTCATGAAAGCAAGCAGGAAGGCATAAACCCTGAGCATAGACAAAAGCCCATGATGATGGCAAGGGAAGGATGACAATGAGGGCTGAGGGACAGTGGCCAAGTCCCAAGCCCTGCCTCCTGGGAACCAACTCCGGTCCTGCAGCGAGGCCACTTTAATAGACCTTATGTTTTATTCCAGTGGCCAACCTTGCAGTGTGGGGGCGGGGCCATCAAACTCTCTTTCCTACTCGACTCAGGTGATCATGCTGCCCTTAATGAAAGCCAGCTGAAGCTGATTCGTCTTTGCAGCATGGGCTGCTTTAAAAGGAGCAGAGAGGTAAGAGAGAGGGAGAGTGGTGAGCAGCAGTAGTAAGGACTGGTGGGCTGGGGAACTTGCAAGAGAGACAGAAAAGAACTGAAAAGTCTAACTTGGAAGCCACAGGAAAAGTGTCAAGTTTTGGTGTTGTTTGAATCTTGTTTGTGTTTTGCGTGCGGAAATAAAGTGATGAAAGTGCTTGCCTCCAGCAGGAGAAGGACACAGATACGCTGAGGGAGTCTCTCATGACAGAGGAAAAAGCCATCTGGGCCCTTGTCCAGCTGCACCTGGCCACCTGGCAGGAGCTGCACTTCTCCACATCGACAAGCAGTGAAGGCAGCTTGAGGAGCAACAGGTGGCAAAGTGCCTGATGCTCAGATGGCCTGCTGGCAGAGCAGTATTTCTCGGCAGGGGAGGAGCCCCCCTCTTCTCTAGTCACTGCTCTGAGAATGGCCAGAGTTTCCCCTCTCTGTCCTCCTGTCTCTTCTCAGAGCTCTCCCTCTCTGTCCTAACTTTCCTGCTCTGAGAAGGCCTGGAGCTCCTCCTGTTTCTACTCCTGAGGAAATTGATGTAGCCCCACCTACACCTAAAGGATTTTGGTGCAGCGCTGCCTGTGTCTGCTGCAGGCACAGACTCCCTGACCTGACTGTCCCCGTGCCTTAATCCCAGTAGCTGAAGCTGCAAAGTGGAAGTGGGGCCAGAGAATTCTCTTTCCTTCTCAGTTCAGGTGCTTCATTAAGCAGCCCTTAATGAAAGCCAGCTGAT